CATTTGAATTACAAATCAGAAAAGCCCATCTGATTCCTGCTGCCTGTTCCCACTCCACCTGAGGATGCTTCAAGCCTGACATCTAAACATCTTCTCACTAGCAGCATGCAAGACTCAGACACTGGGTTTATAATTTGCTCTAACCATTAACCTATATATTTTTTTCTTTTGTTTCCATAAAAGCACCTCTTATTAATTACCCGATTGCTTACTAAGCAAAACAGAGCCCATATGATGGCTAACACAGCCTGCTACACAATTAAGGCCTTAAATGACTCTCAAAATAGCATCATATTATTCAACACCAGAATAACTCAAATGCATAAGACAGTTCTATAAAATAGAATGGCATTAAATGTTTTAACAACTGCACAAGGTGGAACTTCTGCTGTCATAAAAGCAAAATGCTGTGCATACATTCCAGAATACCACAAAAATATTTCTCAGTTTCTAACTAACACAAATACTCAAATTGGTGCTCTAAATGATCCCTCTCTTCCCTTTTATAATTGGTTAAACTCCTGGACTAAAGGAGGGTTTTTTTTCAACTATCAAAAGAGTCTTATTTGGGCTTCTTTTTCTTTTTGTTATTCCAATCATGTTTTGCTCTTTTCTCCCATGTCTCTCCACCTGGTGCCAAGACTCCTTCACTGCCATAACTTCAAATGGACAGACGATCCTTTCTGCTCAAAGAGACTCCCATATGTTATCAACCCTAGATACAACTGCCTTAGCCTTTCCTAACTCCTAATTAAATTCTCAACCGACCAATCTTGACCCATAGGTAGGGACATCTCTATGTCCCTATTCAGCAGGAAGGAGCCACAGAAGATGAGACCTTCTGCCTTCAACAACCTTAAAGACTTAAGGGTCTAGTTGTTCAGGGGGTGAAATGATGAGGGAAACAAAGACAAGAGAAATGTAGCTTCAATTATATCTTTTTACAGCTTGCAGCCCACTGGCAGATACCTGAAACATGCGGAACATGACCTTCCTCAAGGAACTCGCGGCTGCCTTAATGCATTAATGGTTATGTTTTATTAAATACTAAAAGTAGCCTTACCCTAATAGCAGCTAGCCCTTCAAGGTCCTTAAAGCCTTGCTTCCAAATTCCTTAGAAACCTGCTTTATCTCTATCCCCCTCTCCCTCCACAAACTTAAAACTATATAGTCAGTCACTTCTCACAATCCCACAGTGTAGTTCATTCTGCCCACAGGGTCCTGTGCCATGCTCTAATAAAATCACCTTTTTGCACCAAAAAATGACTCAAGAATTCTGTCTTGGCCATCTGCTCACAAACCCAAAACTTCCAAATTTCATCACATAGTTGGCAGTTCTAATAATAGCAAAGGGAATTTACATATAATGCTTGTTCTGGGTGGCAGCCAGAAGAATGGATCTCCTTATCTGCACTCCAAATCTCTAAAGCTTATAAAGAGGCCCTAAGTGTGTTCAGTCACCTATATGGTGCAGGCATTTTTAACATCACATCACCCCTGAAGGCTATGCTTTTGGCGCAGCCTCCCAGAACTGAAAATGCAAGTGGAACCACATTTCAAGGACAGGGGAAGGGGCGTACAACATCCAATTGCCTGGATCCAGCTCATGGGTCAATTGATGGTCATATCTTTTGATCATATTCCAAGGGGGGGGGGGGGAGAGAATGACCCAGAAACGAAACAGGCAAGTGATAGAGCCAGAAGGGATTAGCAGAGGGATGGAGGAAAACAGAGTAGAGGAGGAGTCAGGCCTTGAGCAATAATCTCAATTCATTAGATGATTTCTTAGAAATATATTTTATGTTTTTTACAGCAGTTTTAGATTAATAGCAAAATTGAGGGGAAAGTGCAATGTGTTGCCATATGCCCCCTCTCCTACAGAGGCACAGCCTCTGAGCCATAGTTTTACACTTGCTACAACATCCTGAGCCATAGTTTTACACTTGCTACAATGACCCTACATTGACACAGCATTATATCCTGTGGGGGATAAGCTTAGGAATCCCCCAGGTTTACACCAATCAGTTAACATGGCATAAAGAAATACAAAGCCATAAAATGCTCACACCTGAGTTTGGGTAAACCAGATTGGCACCCCAAGAACAGGGAGGAACAAAGGTGCCAGGAATAGAGAGGTGCAAAGACACCCCAAAATAGAGAGGGGGTGCAGAGCCCCCAGAATTGAGAGGGAGAGGCAAAGTCCTAAAATAGGAATTGGCACAAAGGTGCCCAATACATAAGAATATGAAATGAACAAGATTATATATTCAGTGTGGATGCACCCCCAATTTAGTACTGTAGCAGAAAAACTGCTTTCACAGGAGGATAGGGCCAGATTAAGTAAATTGGTGGACTATGGACCATTGTGCTGCAGGCAAAGCAGCCCAGAGCTGAGAAGGTTAACAAAAGAAAAGGTGCCTTGTTAACCCTGAGGTTATTTCCCTTATCTGTCTCATCCCCTAGGCTAGCTAAGATAAACAGAGGTGCTGCCTCGTGTCTTCTGTAAACAAGTTTCCTCCCAACTGCCTGGCATCTGGATTTTGGTTTATATTTACCCAAACCCCAAACACTGTATATCTTCAAATCCCCCCTTTTCCCTCACATCCCCAGGTTAATGTTCACAGTTTCTTTGTCTCTTTGTGCATGCCCATCACATTTGTAAGCCTTCTGATCTGAATAAATATGGGGCAAAGACCCTTATCCAGGGCTCTTGTCTTTTCCCGGACATTAGCCATCTCTCGCTTTCAATCTTACATCCTGCTCTTTTGCTAGACAAGAGAGAACTTTAGACCCAGAGTCTACAACAATCACCCTAAGTCCATAATGTACATTGGGGCTCACTCCTGCTCTAGTACTTCTGTGGGGTTTGTCAAATATATAATGACATGAATCTTCCATAGTAGTATCATATATTATCATATAGAATAGATTTACTGCCTAAAAATCCTCTTTGCTCCATTTATTTCTCTCTTCTCTCTAACTCTTGGCAACCACTTATCTTTTTATTGTCACCCTGGTTTTGCCTTTTCTAGAATGTCTTATAGTTGGAATCATATTATATACAGCCTTTTCAGATTGGCTTATTTTACTTAGTAACATGCATTTGAAATTTCTCCATTTTTTTATGACTAGATAACTCATTTCTTTCTAGTTCTGAATGATGTTTGGTGGTATGGATGTACCACAGTTTATTTTTGCATTCACCTACTGACGGATATCTTGGTTGCTTCCAAGTTGGCAAGGATGAGTAAAGCTGCCATAAATATCCATGTGCGGATTTTTTTGTGAATATAAGTTTTCAACTCTTTGGGTATAGATACTTTTTAAATTTCCAAATTTCTTTCCCTTTTAAATTTGTTGTGTCAGATTCACATTGAGATCTCAATGCTTTTCCAGTCTTATTTTATATATTGAAAATATTCTTTGGTGCTTAGTAAACCACTATACATTATTTCAATGTGCACTTAGATATATTCTTGTTTGAATGTGTGTGTGTGTATTCAAAATCTAGTTTAATCAGTTAATCTAATATTCAACAGCTTCTTCCTCATGTGATCAGTTAATATAGTGGGTTATGAGCTGAAGTCTCCAACTACGTATGTATTCACTTCAAGTTCCCTTTGTCATTTCTCTGCAGATGCTGAAAGATGGAACTTTATTCCAACAAAGACCATGTGTTCATGATGAATAAGTCACTCACATTTTCCAGTGCCAATAATCAGGTCTTCTCAATTTTATATTTTTGATTAATGTGATTTTCTAGAAAAGAAGCATTAAATGTTTGAAACAATGTGATTAAAACTGAGAGTAGTCTCTCTTGCTCACGAGCATGAGATATGGTGTGGAATCTTAAACCAGTGCTGTTTATTCTCTACTGGCCTCTTTCACTCACCTCCTTGCCTATCCCAGTACAAGCGCACAGTCCCAGGGCAAGTGGATAGGGGGGAGCAAGAACTTTTAAACTACACCCAAAACAAAGGTATCTCCCCAACAAGGAGGAAACACTTGGCTCTAGGAAATGAGCTTGGAGAAGGAAATGGAATGCCTGTGGAAGTTAATGGTCCAGGAATGGGAATACCACCAGGAGAAAGGAAAAGGTCTGCCCATTTTTTTCCCAGCAGCTATTGGCAGAAATTTGGGCTCTGTGACTTGAAGGCAAGGATCAGTCCAGTCCACAGACCTACTGCTGCCAGGTAAGCTGTGGGTTCCACTAGGATGGGAAAGGCTTCTGAAGAAAGGGCAGATACTCATCCAATGGCTTCCATGACAGAGTTCCCTGTCCCTAAATTCCTCCTGTCCCAGTGGCTACCACAGGATTATGATCTTCTCAATGTGTTGAATTGCCCCACGTTCAGGATACTGTGGCCTAGGAAGAGGATATGTTGGGTTTTATACTGATCTTACCTGAGAAAAGAAAGAGAAGACAAAAATGGCTTTTTCCCAGGTAAGAGTCATATTCTTGGTTTACTGTTTTATCTGTCTTTCTTGAAATGAACTTTATAAAACTTATTGATTTTCCATTTCCAAGGTATCCTGTCTATCACATTTGCTCACATTCCCCCAGGCCTCCTCTCCCCTTTCATCTCCACACAAATCCCATTCTCTCCATTTTGGGGAATATGTATATAATATTAATGTCTAAATTAAAGACTCAGTAATTATTTTAGTTTATATAAATTCTGTTAGAGCTCTATGAAAATAAACCTGTAAATTAGAAAACATTAAAGGTTGTATAATTACTAATTTAATCTCTCCACTTGGTAGTGGAGAGGGGATACTTGGAATATTAGACTTTTAAGATAAAGACCAAAGTCTGTTGATACAATCTTTCCCTTCCAATAAATATCCTGGTTCACCAGGCATAAAAGAAAATGAGTTTTTCTTCTATTCTTTTTTCTTCTCTCCCTCTCTTTTTTTTTTAGTTATAGTCATATGTTTATTTAAAAATCTGATGTGCCAACATAGCGCCTTTCACAGCTCTGTGGAAACCTTTACAACCTTCATAAACTTCACAATCTTTTGCTTAGGTGTTGCCTTCGTGGGAGCCTTAGCAGCAGCCATTGCTATCTTTTCAGATGCTTGCTTAGCATTTTTTGCTTCCTTGGCAGCCCTGATGGCTTGTTCTTGTTGAGCCTTCCTAATTTCAGTTTTCTGATTCCTCTTGGCCATTATATCAGCAAGAGATACACCAGTGATGGCCCTCTGGAATTTAACTGCATGGTGGGCTCTTTTCTTTTGAATTTATTCCAACTGTCCCTTTTTGTGCTTTCTTCTGTAGAGGACAGTCCAGTTTATCTGCTGAAAATTCCTCGTAGAAAGGAATGCTGACTCGCATTTTGCATTAAGAAATTGGAAAACCTTCCTGTTAGTCCTGGTGTAGTGTCTCCCATGTCCAGGGTAAATCTTGTACCCACTGAAACTGCAAAGCTTGAACTTTTTGGCTGCAGCAGCCAGGAATAAAGAAAGATTGTGAAGATAAAAATGAGTTTTTCTTTTTCTTCTTTTTTAGTGCCATCCTAATCTTGGGCCATTTCAGCATACGTTATATTCAAATTTTCCATAAAGTAGTTTCCTGTAACATCATACTACAATCCATGATATTGTGATTATAAGAAATATATGCTTGGTTTTCATCCATGGTTCCTGGCTTATAGCTCCCAAACCCTTGGTGTTTCTTGAGTGATTAGAGTAATAGGAGAGCATCTTTAGTTATATTTGCTCTCTGGTCCTCAGTTCCTGAAAGGTAAAATGAGTCTTTTTTTTAATGTTTATTTTTTTAGAGAGTCATAAAGATAAATGAGTGTCTTTTTTTAATGTTTAATTTTTTAGAGAGAGAGAAAGCAAACATGAGTGGGGGAGGGGCAGAGAGAGGGAGACAGAGTATCCCTAGCAGCCTCTATACTGACAGCACAAAGCCTGATGTGGGGCTTGAACTCATGAACCATGAGATCCTGACCTAAACCAAAGTCAGATGCTTAACCTACTGAGCTACCCAGGCACCCCATGAAATGAATGTCTTATAATTTATAACCAACTCTTTCATCTCAACTGGGTTTATGTTAATAAGGTGAGTTTTGGAAAGCATCTAAGGATGGGGGCTGGTTACTGATGAAATTTTTTGGGGGTGATGGGGTTTGTGGGGCCTGGAGCCAACAGCCAAGAAAAAATTCTTGAAGACATCTTTGGTACAAAAAGGTGATCTTATTAAAGCATAGGAATAGGACCTGTGGGCAGAAAGAGCTTCCCTGGATCCTGTGGAGGGACTGGTTATATACTTGGCAGTTGGGGGAGGTAAAGTCAAGGGGAAGTTTCCAATGAGATTTTCATATACTAAAGAAGACTCATAGGATACTGGAGGCCTAGCTATTGTCAAGCTAAGGTTGTTTTTTTTCATCCATCAGAGTATTAACATTAAGACAGTAGGGAGTTCCTGGAGAAACATTTTACTCTGCCAGACTTAAGTAGTTGTCGAGGGGCTGCAGGTTATAAGGAGATTCTATTTTTTCTGCCATTTCATTCTGCCTTTGTTTCCCACCTCAGTTACCAGGGAGCCAACCATGAATAGAGAGGTATAACTTTCAGTCCTACTTCCCTAATTCCCCACCCCTTACCTCAGACCTTTAGGAAGAGGAGAGGGACTGGAAGTTGAATCAATCACCAGCAGCCAATTATTTAATAAATCGTACCTAAATCGAAGCTTTCATAAAAACTCAAAAGGAGGGGGTTGGAGAGCCTCCTGGTTGGGGAACCAGAATGCACCCACTTTCCACAGTGCAGGGCCCCCAACTCCACAATCTCCTTTGTTTGAAACTTCACCCTATGCATCCCTTCACCTCAGTTGTTGATTTGTTTCCTTTAATATCCTTTGTAATTAATCAGTAATCTAGTGAGTTAATGGGTTTCCTGAGTTCTGTGAGCTGCTTTCACAAATTGATCAAACTCAATGAGGGGGTCATGTGAACCTTTGATTTATAGTCAGTCAGTCAGTCAGTCAGTCAGAAGTATGGTAACAACTTTGACTTGTGATTAGTACCTGAAGTTGAGGGTGGTCTGGTGGGACTGAACCCTTAACATGTGGGATCCTATACTATCTCCAGGTATATAGTGTCAGAATTGAGTTGGACTGTAGGAACCCAGCTGGTGTTGCAGAATTGCTTGGTGATGTAGGAAACCCCTCCTCCCCACCACTACCACACATATATCAGAACTGATGAAGGAGCATAAGGCAAGCTGAGGGCAAAGCACAAGTTAGCAACCCCTTCCACCCTCCAGGTGGGATATGTGTGACATTCCACAGGCTCACCTGGCTGCCCAAGAACAAAGGAAAGAGAAAAAAAAACACAATGGTTAACTGATTGAGATCATAGTCACAAAAGACAGCAGTCTCCATCAGTTTGCACCTGTTAGTATATTACAAGAAAAAGACAATCTTATCAATAGCCTAACCTCCAGAAACCCAAGGACTCAATTTCTTGGAGTCCTAATACCACCTTCCCCCAATGTTGATGTGGGGAACAAAGGCAAGATGAAACATAAATAAAATTAAATTTATTTATAGCCTGCAGCCTGTTGACAAATATTTGATATAGGCAGAGTAGAACATCCTCCAATAAACTCCCAACTGTCTTGTCTTAATGTCAATGCCTTGCTAGAGGGAAAGCAACCTTAGCTTGACAAGAACGAGGTCTCTAGTTCCTTTGAAAGTCCTTTTGGAAGCCTCCCTTTTACCTTTACCTTTCCAACTCCATAGTATATAATCAGTCACTCCTCACAACTCCAGTGAAGCTCTTCCCACCCACAGGTCCTGTCTTTGTGCTTTAATAAAATCACCTTTTTGCACCAAAGACATCTTGAGAATTCTTTCTTGGCTATCAGCTCTGAACTCCCACCTATCACTCCAAAACCACATCAGAACTGTGATCAAAACCCTTAAAATTTTGTTGGATCAATAATTGATATTGGCCTACAGAGTAAATCTTTATACATGAATGGAAAAATGTCACAACCAAAATTATAGTATAAAATACTCCAATCTAAAATAAAATGATAAGGTATAAAATAATTTAAATATAGATATAGGTTTTTGAAGAACACAGCTAACTAGAAGTGTTAGTATACTAACACTTGATTTATAGTCAGTAGTGCCCTGCCTTTACTATTAGCCCAGCCAGGGTCAGGTCCATACTCTGCTCCAAATCAGAGTGTGAATTTAGACAACCTCTCTGAGCCTAAAGTTTATCTTTACAATGACAGTAAATCAGTGCTTGACTCATAAGTTTGTGAAGAATAAATGACTTAACACATGCCTTCATATCACTTGATGAAGTTTTGGGGTGATTGTGGGGTTTGTGTGGTCTGGAGCCAACAGCTAAGAAAGAATTATTGAAGATATATTTGGTGCAAATGAGAAGGAAAGCTGGTAAAGGCAGATAAAAAGGATCAGCCAGATGGATACTCCCCTTGTATACTTTTTGCTTCTGTAATCTTGCTTGCCTCTTGCATCAGCTGACTGACTGAGTAGCACAAATGATAAGTGCCCCCGCTTTTTATTTCTTGAGCCCCTGCAATCCCACCCACTTGTGCAGCTGATAGAGTTTCCAAGTACTTGGAAGGTGACCAGGCATAAAAGTAGGCCAGCGCCAGGGCTAGGGGCTCATCCTTTGGAGATGATTCTGCTGGGCCAGCACCAGTGCAGAATAAAGTATTTTCTGATTCCCTGAGTGCATGTTGCTTGTCTCTTCCTGGGCACTGAGTATTTGCTGTAACATTTTCAGTGAATTGGCCAGGAAGCTGGTAGCCATGTTGGCTCCTGTACTACTGTTGTCAAGAGCCAGCAGGGGCACCGCCATTTTGGGCCCCCACAATGGGAAAGAAGGTGCGCCACCAGCGGTTTCACTGAACCCTGATCCTGGCTGGCCTAATAATACCCAGCCTTTGCTGGACCCTGCAGGGAACCAGAAATTCTAATTGGACCCTGCGGGGAATCAGAAAATTCTGCCAGGACTGGACACCAGATCAGGTGAGTGTCCCTGGGGACCCAGGACCTAATTCAGGCCCACCCTAGAGGTGGAAGGGGAGCTTAATCGCCTCCTGGGGAACATAGTCACCAAATAGGACTGGGAAGTCCTGAGTGGAAGTCTGCAATCTGTCAGAATATGTGTATGAGTGCCTGTGCTCCATGGTTTTGGCTATGGAGCCTAAGTGGATCCTACCCTGTGGTTCTGTGATGACCTCATATGGCTCAAGGCAGAATCACGTCCACAGAGGCCTGATCCAAGTCAGGGGTTTATACTGACCTGCCGATGCTGAGGTGTCTAAATCCCCACAAAGGGAATGACCAGGCAGACCAAACAACCTCTTCCCTCATGTTTGCCCTCATGTTTGTCCTCCTGTACATTGGGAGGGACCCATCTAGGATACCAGGATGGGGAAAATTCCTCAAAACCAACTGTTGGAGCCAACTGTCTCTGGTCAGTCTACCTCAGAATGGGGACTTTAAGGAATATTCCCAAGCAGCTGCTGAAACTCCCTTTGCTTTGGGGAAATTCCCTGTCTTCTCCAGACTGACATAGACTGACTAATTCCTCTACTGGAAAACAAAACAAAACAAAACAAGAACATGGAGTCTGCTCCTCTATATGAGCTGACAAGACTTAAAACTGGGAATTCTCTTTCTCTGCTTTCTGCTAGCACCTTGTCTTTCCTTCCCCCACCCTCCTGTTTCTGCACCAGAGTGAAGCCTTCATAACTGCATAATCTCAATGCCTCAGGCACCAGCAGCTCCTCCTCCCACCCTAGACATTGAGGGGTGAAGACCACCCACTTCAGATTTCCCTACCAGTGTTCCAGGTAAAAATTAACCATGGGGAACAAATTGTCTTAAGTGGACCCAAGTAAAAGCTATTCAGTGATTAAGCTAATTTAAGTTTGTTGGTTTGCGATATACGTGTTTATCAACATTAAGTTAAAGAAAATTATTCCACCTAGATTTGCTGAAGGTCAAAAAAAGCTCATGTTATCCTCTGTTCCAATTTGTTAGCAAAAGGATGACTTAAAGTAATGGTTAACGTTGTCTCAGTTTTCATAGGTAATTGTTAAGAAAGCTTTCAAAGTCTTTGGTAACCTAAAACGTTAAAGTTTTGCTTGCATGATAAATTGAGATTGAATTCGTTAGATATCTAATGAGATAACAGATAAAGCACTAATTACTAGATGTATGTTTGTGCTTCTGACTTATTGCAGAGAAACTAAGATATTTGGATCTGTGGGAAAACATTCTTTATGCTTAATGGATTCATAAGTTTGCCACCTAAAAAAATTCTGATGTAACATAGAGTTCACAGTTGGTTACTACTTAGTTTTCACTGGAGACTAAGGTTTCTAAGAGTTAAAATTCTGCTAAATGTAGTTAAAACTGATGGAAATAAGGAAAGCAATTCTGTATGTAGAAAAGTAGATATGTAAAAAAGATATAAGGAATGGAAACACATTTTTGTTGAAAGTAAAAGAAAGTAATTTTGTCCTAAATGAGACTGGTTATTTGGAGACAAATGGCTTGGAACAAAATATGAATGCAAAGGAAAGTTGTATAACGTTCATGAAGGGAAAGATTTTGAAAGAAATTTTACATGTAGTCAGGAAGGACTAAGGTTAAAATGAATGGATTTTAAAAGTACGCTGGTTTGAGATTGAAATTCTTCCTCCCTTGATTCAAAGGCTGGGAAAATGATGGCAATACCCTTGGTTCCAGCCTCCAAATCCTCTACATTTGTGTTTTTCATGTTTAGCATTGGAATGGATGCCTATGCCATATGAGGGATGGATGATATATGAAGGGCTTTTACTGAGATACATGAGAGCCATTTTATTAAACTTAGCCCAATGTATCAAAAAAATGGATATCAAAATGGCTGGAACACATTTATGTGGGTATTGTTGAAAAAGGCAGGGAAATAGACCTTGACTTTGGCTCCTAACCTCCCTCCCCATCATCAGCCAATAATCAATATGTAAGTTACTGTTGGGCAAAAATGAAATTAGTGCATCATACAACAACCGGGGAAGTCTTGCTTGGTCACAGTCCATACTCCCAAGGTCCTGCAGGTGGGAAACGGAGGTGTAGGAGAAATTGTGGAAGACCAGGACACTTCTCAGAGGTAGGGTCAAGCCTGGGTGAGAGCAACTACTCCCAGCCCTCATGAGACTGACAGAGCCTTTAGGTGCCAGTTGCATAGCCAGCCCAAACGCAAGGCCAGGAGATGATGTTTCTCCCGGCCAGCTATAGCAAATTGAGATAAGGGATGGCTTTCTTTTTTTTTTTTTTAATTTTTTTAATGTTTATTTATTTTTGAGACAGAGAGAGACAGAGCATGAATGGGGGAGGGGCAGAGAGAGAGGGAGACACAGAATCGAAAGCAGGCTCCAGGCTCTGAGCCATCAGCCCAGAGTCCGACGCAGGGCTCGAACTCAGAAACCGTGAGATTGTGACCTGAGCTGAAGTCGGACGCTCAACCGACTGAGCCACCCAGGCGCCCTGATAAGGGATGGCTTTCTTTCTTTCTCCTATAGGTGGGTAATTCCCCCAAAAAGGTCATTACTCCTTTGGAATGCATTATGACTCATTTTCTTTTGCACAAAGGCTTGGCCCCAATACAAATCATAGGAGTAGACCTAGCCACCAGAGGGAATATCTATTATAATACTACACTACAATTGGACTAGTTTTACAAACGTGAAGGGAAGTGGAGAGAAGTCCACTATCTTCATTGTTTTTGGGCCTTAAGAAAAAAATCAAGATATATGTAAGCAATGCAAGGTGGATCCTGATTTAATGGCAACCCTTTCTGAAGTCAAAGCAATCAGGAGGGGAAACAATTAAGCGCCACTTACCTGTATCCAAAGCAGATCTAAAGAAGGAGGAAGAGAAGTCATCCACCTCAATCTCCTCCTCCTTGGGTCCTCAATCTATATATATATTTTTTTTATTTTTTTTTCAACGTTTATTTATTTTTGGGACAGAGAGAGACAGAGCATGAACGGGGGAGGGGCAGAAAGAGAGGGAGACACAGAATCGGAAACAGGCTCCAGGCTCCGAGCCATCAGCCCAGAGCCCGATGCGGGGCTCGAACTCACGGACCGCGAGATCGTGACCTGGCTGAAGTCGGACGCTTAACCGACTGCGCCACCCAGGCGCCCCTCAATCTATATTTTTAAAAATACAATTCTTCTCCCTGCTGCCCACCTTTTCTAGGACCTCCCTGTAATGTAACAGACATGTTTCCCTTATAAGAAGCTAGAATGCCAGAAGGAGAAACATTTACAAGTTTAAGACACATAAAAGGAGATCTAGGTAAATTTTCTGATCAAATAAGTATATAGAGTCTTTTCAGAATATTGCATATGCTTTTGAGTTGACCTGGGAAGATATAACGCTTTTGTTAAATCAGACACATAATGAGACAAAAATGTGGGGTTCAGGCAGCAGCTAAGAGATATGGGGATGAATACTTCATTAATTACCATGGACTGGAGATTCTATAGGGAACTTCCAGATCTTTACTGGAGCTCAGGCAGTTCTACCCCAAGATCCTAATTAGGACTATGATCATTCCATTGGGGAATGGTACTGCTGCCACTTCTAAACTTATGTTTTGGACAAATTAAGGAAATCTAAGATTAGGCTCTTAAATTATGCTGTTAGCCACTATTTTACAAACACAAAATAAGAGCCCAATGGCCTTCCTTGAGAGGTTAAGGGAGGCTCTCATTAAATATATGGCTATCTCCCCTGACACCCCTAAGGCTGAGATGACTTTAAAGGATAAATTAGTCACTCAATCAACCCTAGATATTTGAGGAAATGCAAAAATTGGCTATTGGCCTAGAAGG